GTCATGTAATTTCCTGGTCTAGCTTGCTTTGAACTGTGATCCTCATATCTCAGCCTCCTGAGGATGATAGGCAAAATACATATGTCTAATTGGCTTCAATTCCAAGTTTGACCCTTACTATATGACTGCACAAACCATTTTGTTTCTTTCATTTCTAGGATAAGAGTAAAATTCCTTGCTCTTGACTATATGCTAAAATTAAAATAGTTTCTATTGTACTGACAAACTCTGGGGCTTATACATAGATTATTATTTAAAGTTCCTGACAATAGCTTTCTTTCTATTAGCTTAACTAGTAGAAAAAATATTATGAGTTTGGCCTTTTAATTATTCAATAAAGGAATAATTACTAATACTAATGCATAATTAAATCATAAAACGAAACTGATTGAATAATGGCAGTTTGGATCAGTTTTACACAAATGATAAATACTTTGGGAAGTTGTTATTGTCTGAGAATTTATATGTGCAAAGGTGGAAATAGTTATCAAAATAAAAATGCATGAGTAATAAAAGTTTTCTCTTACCTGGATGTTCTGAATGAGTTTTTCATCTTCTGTTACATAGGGGTTAATTGCAATGACAATGCCTTCATATGCATTGGCAGGTAACTTTACCATTGAGCATTTTACCTCTAACAAGAGATGCAGAGCTAGGCATAGAATGCTCCTCAGACTGAACATCATTTCTGCCCAGGCTACAATTATATAGAAATGCAAGGAGGGTATTTATATATCTGCCTATTAGTTTAGGAATTTCAATCAAGACCAAATATTTGCATAAATTTGATATGGTAAAATACACTAAAATGTCTAGGTGAACTTCCTTATTCATTCTAAAGATATAGTTATGAAGTAGCAGTAGGGATTATGCTAAACATCCTTAGCATTCTCTGTGTAGATAGTCAAGCTCATAGTAGTGAGTGGTTCTCCTTATTACTATCAAATGTGACCTCAGGATCTCCTTACAGAAAAGCTCTTTAGGGAGAGGCAAGAAGTGGTAGTGAATTAAGGGTTTAATTTTATTTATATATCTTTAATTTTATTTTATTGTTAAGGTGATATATAGAGGGGTCAAAGCTGAGGTTCAGTGGAAAAAGTTTTAGCTTCTGTGATTAGTACTTGTTTATTTCAGCTTTCAAATAACATTGAATGCTTAAGCTCTTTCATAACTTGGGAACTTAATATACTTCAGATAAGCTTTTTTTCATTCTTTTAAATTTTTTTGATTGAATACAAATGGTTCGTAGCTTGATCTTGTTGTACAATGGCATTGTGAAATGGCTCTAAATTTAGAAAAATACAAACTCTACTCTTTCTTGCTTTGGACACTTAATACTCATGAGAGTTTTTTTAGTAAGAGTTATGTAGTTAATTTTTAGGCTTTTTCTTTTGTTGTCCTATTAAAATAATTTGTACTTATAGAAGCTCCTAATCTGTTGATCAGATCTACAAGGTTCTCATACAAGCTCTTAATTAATATTATACCTTAGTAGTAAGCATTATATGTATATAATCAATACAAGCTTGTTTTTCACTTTGATAATTAAAGTTTCCATTTTAATTCTTTTGTTTTGTAATCAAGTAAATACAAACTCTCAATGTTTTATGGCAAGTCCCCATGTATGCCTAAGACTAGAGGTAGAACTGTCTGGCACACTGAAACCATAGGCTTTTTGGAATGCTCTTTCATTTTTTTCTTGCTGTGCCCTTGCAGCTCCAGCCTAAGAACAGCCTCATGTGTAAAAATGTACTAAACCATCCACATGAAAAGTAATATAAATTTCCTTTGAACTTGTTTGTGCCTAACATCTGCATTGCTCTTGTAATTTACTATTGTATTACTAGGACTTGGGAGCCTTGTGCTGCTAGGTAAACTACTGCTTGAGTCATCCTCCCAGTCCTTTTTGCTTTAGCTATCTTTCAGAGAGGGTCTTACAATGTCACTCCAGCCAGGCTTGGACTGCAGTCCACCTACCCACAGCCCCCTGTGTTGCTATCATTATGGGTGTGAGTCCCCACATCCAGTCTTGCTTTTGTTATTATTGATATGCATATTAATGTGTCTCTTTTCTTGGAGGGAGGATTTTTTTTCTGAGTTTAATCTTTCTCAATCCTAGTTTCCTTAACTATAAAATGAGGAAATAATAACTAGAAGAACTGTTGGGCAGATTAAATACAAGAACAGGGGAAAATACTTGTAAATGCTGGTGCATATTAGACTCACAATGAATGCTTATTGAGGATGGAGAAAACTCAAACTGTGTAATTCCTTAGAAAGTCTAACTCACAGTTCAAGCAGGAAACCTGTATTTGAAAGGGGTAAGATGGGCTCAATGGAAGGGTGGGTAGATGAATGAAGAGAGGATGGGGAGAATACAGTCACAAGTGTCAAAACAAATCCTTCAAACTTGTGCAAAGTGAGGGAAGGTGGCCTGTTGAGAGGGAAGGGTGAGAACATTGAAAGGAGGCTGACACTGACCAATATGCATTGTGTCCATAAACTGCTTTGCTGAATGGAAACTCCTTTGTACAATTATTTAAAGATGCTAAAAAATGCATGTTAAAATAGATGTTCAGTGCTTTCCATTGTTTCTTTTATATGAAAAAAATATGAATGCATTTAGGTGCCCCATCCAATGCTCTACTCGAGCAAGGACAGGATGATTAAATATAACATTACTGATGGAGAAATTACAATTACTTCTGTAGATTAGAATGGTAGAAAAAAAGAACAACAACAACACAAGGTAGGGCTAAAATAATTCGATAGGAAAGTTATAATCTCTTCACTAGAGTGCCAAAATTTGGGTAATAGTTTATGGTGTAGGGATTCAGGAAGGCTTTGGGAGAAGGCCATACTTTAGGAGATTGAGGAATGGAGAGCTTATACTTTCCAAAAAGGAAACCTTTGGTATTGAAACTCAGGACATTCTGACTGGGGTAAGGTGGAATCTCAGTGTTGTTTGGATTTGCATTTCTTTTATGGCCAGGGATGTTCCTTATCTAATATGTGGAAGGGAAAGGGAATCATAGGAACAGCAGGACAAAGGAAGAACTAATGCAACAATGTAGTCACTAGCCACTATGTTGGAGATTAGCTTTACAACTGGGAGGGTGAAATGGGAATGAGAAGTTATAAATGGGGGGGGGAGTAAGTAAGGGAGGGGTAACAGTGATTTAAAAATGTACTCATTGCCTTCCTTATGTAACTGTAACCCCCTGTTCATCACCTTTACAATAAATTCAAATTCAAATTTAAATTCAGAAAAACCCAGAGAACATTCTGCTTCAGAGCTTACTTTTTTAAAAAGCATACTCTATTTCTGCCCTTTCCCTTTTTTTCTTCTTAGCAATGCCAGAAATCAATCCCAGAGCCTTATGCATGCTAGATAAGTACTTTCCCTCAGCCATACCCCAGCCCTCCGGCTGTTTTCAAACATATACCACAAATAGTACTTTTGAAAACGATGATCAGAGAGTAAAGGTTTGACAAATATTTGGAAAGGAGCTTCTTCGATAAACAGTAGTCATCAATAGAAGAGTCTAGAGAGAGTGAATTGTTGAGATTTAGGATAGGAACACATGGCCTTGTACTTACTAAACAAGTGATTTAACACTTGAGCCAGGCTTCTAGACTATTACCATTAATTTTGTATTAGTCAAAAGAATTTCTATCTTGTTTCAAGATAAGTCATTTTAAATTGGATCTTAAATTGAGGTAGACAAAACTGTAAAAATCATATTGTCACAACATTCTAGAATGTAGTCTTCAACTAAGTTCCCTTACATGTATGTGTATCCTTTTCTTTTCTTTTCTATTCCTTTCTTTTCTTTTTCTTTTCTGTTTTCTTTTTTCTTCCTTTATAGCTTCCTTCCTTCCTTCCTTCCTTTTTTTCTTCCTTCCTCCCTTCCTTCCTTCCTTCCTTCCTTCCACTTGTGGAGCTTTAACTCAGGGTGCTATACCTGAGCTCTTTTGCTCAAGGCTGGAGCTCTACCACTTTGAGACACAGCTCTACTTCCAGTTTTTGAGCGGTTAATTGGAGATAAGAATCTCACAGGTTGGGGCTGGGAAGGTGGCTCAGTGATAGAGCGCTTGCCCTGCATGTCTGAGGCCCTGGGTTCGATTCCTCAGCACCACATGAGCAAAAAGAAAAAAAAGCCGGATGTGGCGCTGTGGCTCAAGTGGTAGAGCGCTAGCCTTGAGCTGAAGAGCTGAGTGGCAGCGCCCAGGCCCAGAGTTCAGGCCCCACGACTGGCAAAAAAAAAAAGAATCTCACAGGTAGTTTTCTGCTCAGGCTGCCTTCCAACAGCCACCCAAAGATCTCAGCCTCCCAAGTAGCAAGGATTACAGGAACAAGCCACTAATACTGGGATTTAAGTGGTTCTTATTGAAATCATTTCTTCATTTCTCCCTGGATCATCTTCCCAAAAGATGTTACTAGATGAAAATATATAATATTAGAAGCATGCAAGTATTGTCGCAACAGCCCATTGGTTTATATAGTTAACTTGTCTTCTGAAAAACAAAATAAAACCATGTGATCTAAACAAGGAAATATTCAGAGCTTACCTGTGGATATGGTTCACTAATTCAGAGATTTATTAGCTAACACACCCACTGATACAATGTCGTAGTTAATTCCTTAGAGATTATACTGGAACTATCTATTACACAATCTTGCAACTAACAAAAATAGTGAACTGTCATGGCATCTTCATTTCCTTGTTGGCACTCTCTTAGAATTCTCTTTATTACTTCTCTCTTTTCCAACCTAGGACACTGCACTTGCTAGGCAAGCCATTGCCACTGAGATACATTGCAGCCCTGTTTGGTCTTCTGGTGTCTCTTCATAACATATAAATCTTTCACCTATGATTTCTTTCTTACTGCTGCTTTTTATCTCATAACCTTTGGAAGGTCACTCTATTGCTGCCATAAACAAGCCCCAAATTTGATAATATTGTCTTCAGTTTTCTTATCTATTTAGTTACTCATTCACAAAAATACTGTAATAAATATTAGCACTGTATCAAGTGCTCTTTCTTCAAGGTACTGATAAATGACCTTGTATGTTAGTAATTATCTTAAATGATTTTTCTGTTGCTCTTTACACATCCTTAAACATTATTTCAATTCACACAATGCGATCCTCAACCTATTATTCTTGCTGTACTGGGGTTTCAACTGAGGACTTCATGTTTGCTAGGCAAGCAATCTACAATTTGAGCCAGACCTCTAGCTTCCTTTGCTTTTGGGTTTATTTTATTTTGTTTTTATTTTATTGTCAAGGTGATGTAGAGAGGGGTTGTAGTTACATATGTAGTGAGTTTATTTCTTGTCTAACTTGTTATCCCCTCCCTCATATTTCTCCCTCTTTCCCTCCCTCCCAATCTTCCCACCCCATGCTTTTGATTTTATAAGGTCTCTTGCTTGGGCCTTAATGTCTAAGCTCTTTTCAGAGGACCTAAAAAGTCAAAACCACCTTGAGAATTATTTTCTTTGTATCTTTTAGTATTTAACGTTTGATGGTGATACCAAAAAATGAAGTGGATTAAATTGTGTCTTTTTCAGCTGATGACAGATCACCCTACTTTTCATGTTCATCTAAAAATCAGCC